TTGGAAACAATGCTGGTGTTAAATAAAATGTTGCAAGTGTTCTTAGAGTTTGAAGAAGAAGCATTCTGCCTGTGGTATGTAATATCCTTATGGTTCAGAGTTGTGCTGAGCAAGACAAGCATGAGTTAAAGTTCTGGCCTGTGGTGAAATAAAGTTGTATATCACTTTGGCTGCCAAGGTCTTTCCTCGAACAGATTGTGTATTCTTGGTAAAACACAGGACTGTGTTGGTGGATGTGATATGTCTGGTGCTACGATCCTTTAGTGTGGAGCATTGTGATGCTGTTTGGATAAACATTTGCTATTTACCTTCTTGATGTACGGCCTTTTTTTAATGGTAGGTTTAACTAGGCTCCTGAGCATAGGCAGATTTTCCCCAGTGCTCAGTACCCATTTTCAAAGACTGCACCTATACTGCTGAGCTGGGGTGACCTCAAAGCCAAGTGTGAAAGCAGAGCTGCTCTTGGATCCTGCTAGTGTGACCAGGGTGATACTTTCAGAGTGTCATGGTTTAACCCCAGCCAGCAGCTAAGCACCACACAGCTGCTTGCTCACTCCCCCACGGTGGGATGGGGGAGAGAATCGGAAGGGTAAAAGTGAGAAAACTCATGGGTTGAGATAAAAACAGTCTAATAGGTAGAGCAACAGTCGCGCACGCAAGCAAAGCAAAACAAAGGAATTAATTCACTACTTCCCATGGGCAGGCCATCTCCAGGAAAGCAGGGCTCCCTCACGCGTAACGGTTACTTGGGAAGACAAACGCCATCACTTCGAACGTCCCCCCCTTCCTTCTTCTTCCCCCAGCTTTATATGCTGAGCATGACGTCATATGGTATGCAATATCCCTTTGGTCACTTTGGGTCAGCTGTCCCGGCTGTGTCCCCTCCCAGCTTCTTGTGCACCCCCAGCCTACGCGCTGGTGGGGTGGGGTGAGAAGCAGAAAAGGCCTTGACTCTGTGTAAGCACTGCTCAGCAATAACGAAAACATCCCTGTATTATCAACATTGTTTTCAGCACAAACCCAAAACATAGCCCCATACTAGCTACTATGAAGAAAATTAATGCTATCCCAGCCAAAACCAGCACATTCAGTAATACTTTAGGTGCTTCATCAGGCCTGAAAGCACATTAAAAGGTATATTTTTTTGACATGCAATGCTGGCCCCTTCACCTTCCTGTATCCCATCTGCCCTGTGGCAGTGCCGCACACCAGTCTGCAGGCAAGCAGAAATTCTAGGGTCATGCCTAGCTGCAAGGATAGACGAGATTCATAAGCATCATTCAGATGGGCTCAGTAGGGAATTTGAACATTGTGTGTTTGTTCTCAAAAACACCTCAGCTTTCAGGAGACACCTGGAACCTGTCTGCTCAAATAGGTGCAGAGGTAGCTGGGATTGGCTGAGTGCTCTGACTGTGTTTACTGAGGTGCCTCTGTGGTAGCTGCAGGATTCTGAGTTTATTTTTGTGTTAAAAACTGAATTTTGTCACCCTTGCCTTGAGTCAGGACTTTGTCCTTCTTGTTTGCATTCTGCTTCTGAATTGCTCCTTAGTCAAGTCCTCTGCATGCCACTCTTTAGCTGTGTCAAGGCACAAGACCAGCCCATACAAACATAAAGACCTGTAACGGTCTTAATTTTTCATTCATCAGACTAGGCCAAATAACACAAGGGAGTAGCAGAAAGGGCATACCCTCACAGTACACCCTCATGGTACACTGAAGTCCATTCCTCTTAAACTAACACTTTGGAGTGCTCTGGGAGGTGGAAATGCCAGAGATTACTTGTCACTAAAGAGCCAGAGCAGAGCTTTAAAAAGGGAAAATCTTGGCACTAAACAAACCTCATTTCTTTCCATTGCTTAGTATTCAGCCTTAGGACAAATTAATCACTCTTGAAATCTGCTGTACTTGCCACTAAATTTGTTGTCTCTTCTAAAAGCATCTCTTCTCCTGTGAAGGGAGATGAACAGAAAGTATATATATATATTCAATTTTAATGCGTACTAGAAAACTCTTTATTGTATGTTTTATTTAGTAATTCAACATTAACCTTTACATTCGCATCTGTAAATAATACTATAAAAGTGAACTGGGCCAGAGAGCCCTTTCAGGAATTTGTTCTGTCATACAGCTTTAAGACTCAATCATCTGGTTAAAATTCAAAGTGCACACCTAGAATAAGTAGGTGAATAAATAAATAAAAGTTCTTGAATAATATCCTCTTTATCTTTTTATCTGAAATCACCTAAAGGCTGCAAGTTCAATTTAATCCTTCTACCATCAGTCAATCTGAGCTTTAATAGAAAGAAGGGGGGGAAAAAAGTACTCAGTAGCTGGTCGCTGGTTTTTAGCTTGATAGAGAGAAGGATGCTCCCTGAATGAGACACTGTGGGAGACATGAGTAGTTAGAAAGAGACTGTGCTTCATGCCACTGAGCTATCTGTGGCTACTGCTGTTATGCAGCTGCAAAAGAAAAGGAAATGCTAGGGGCAAAAGATAAAAGAGAATCTAAGGGAATGGATGTATTTTGCTAATCCTTTCCTCTCATGGTGAGAATGGTTAATCCATTGCAGAATACAGTACGGATAATAGTTCCACTTGCACTTGCTTGTGAACGGAAGTTAACTGAGGCTAAGCTGCCTGGAGCCCGTGATTTGTACAGCATCGTGGCTCAATCTGCAAGTCGTACCCGCAGTCAGGAAATGGAAAGGATAGCCAAGTTGTTTGATGCACCTGATGCAGCTCAGTCTGTGTGCAGAGGTCCTTGTACGGGTAAAACCATGTCAAATGACTCATGGAATATTGCTGGCAGGCACCATGCTAACGTCAAGGCAGAGTTGTAGCACTGTACAGTTTTGACTCTTGGAGTGTGGATTTTCAATTATTGTTTCTAAAAATCTGGATGTTCCTTCAGAAGGAAGGATATGATGCTGTTTGGATAAACATTTGCTATTTGTCTTCTTGATGTACGGCCTTGATGTTGACTTCATAAGCCTGTCCTCAAATTTGGAAAAGGAATTTTCTTTTCCTGGCTCCTTTAATTAAAAAAAGATAAACAAGGCTTTATTTTGTATCTACAGAGAATTCCTTTTGGGGCAGAGGATTCTTTACTGTATTTTTTTAGACTGTCACTGTGATTGGTTGACCAGAAAAGCAGAGCAAGCCCCGATAACGTGGGCTTTTAGTGCAGTATCTTACCTTATCTAGTGACAGTGCCAAAGAAATGCTGTCAAGTCAGAATATTCAGATCATGTCTGATCTCCTGAAGAACATGGGGCAGAAAATCTTTCCTAGTATTTCTTACCACAAGCCCAGTGATGTTGGTTGGAGTGAAGTCTACATAATTGGAGCCCATTTTGACATGAAGATTGGAGGATGCCTGCTTCCCTCTTTTTTCCCCTGATGTGCTTTATTCACTGGCAGCTTGAGCTGTCATTGGCAGAAACTGGACTTCCCGTTGGCAAAGATGCAAAGGACTGGTACTTTTGTCTTTACACATACCAGTTGCATTAGATACTTGATGGGATCTGAATTTCAGTTTTTGAGTTTCCTTTTGCTAGCTATACAGTGGTTTGGTTGTGTAGTTGAGTACAAACACAGTAAAAATTAATCAGCTGCCTCAGGCTCTGGACATTGCTCAAACAGCCCTTTCCAATCACCTTTGTAAATTGTTCTGTGGTCCAGCTCTGATGTGGCTGCTGGATCTCTGTGGTCAAAGATACTGCCCATCCAAGAAAGTTTAATATTCAGTGCGAGCACATATAGTTTATCTTCCCAGTCACACTTAGCCATCCATCATAGCTGTGCCATAGTACACATCACTAGGTTGTGAACCCTTCTAATCTGAACATGGACCTGCCTCCAATTTGTAAATCCAATTACTCAAAATCAAATCAAATGCAAAACCTTTACTCAAATGATATCGTTTTCCCATTAAGGACCTAAATTTGGATATTACAAACATTTAAGTTTCTCAGCTCTGTTATCTACCTCCTTAGCCTGCAATCAACCCTTATTTTACTAAGCCATAATTTATTTCAGATGAAATTTATTTGAAATCCTGTTGAAAACACCGCCAGTTATTTATTTCTCTGTGATCTAGTTGTAAAGCAGAGTAGTTATTTCTCAAAGTGTATTTTTTTTCTGAAGAACCAAACTTGCTCAGAGTTGGAGAAAAGGAGCTTACGTATGCTTTGATCATGAGTGAGTGGATTGTGGGTGATAAATTGATTATATGGAGAATGGTGTTTGTGGTATTAAGCCGAGTATGTATGAAGCAAACCTATGTCTGAGACTTAGTGTGGAGTTGCATGGAAATTTGGTTACATTACAGCTGCACCATTTGTTAGCCAGAAAGACTCAAAACGATCATTAGATTGAAAATTTGGCTTTCAAGAAGAACCACTTCACTGTCTCTAATGTTTAACTAATGAGCACATTGATTTCTAACTTATCTCAAAATTCAGATCTTGTTCTGAACATAGAAGTTGTAAATTAGAAACAATTTCCTTTTCTTTCCCACACAGGAGAGATATAATCCACACCATAAAATGAATTGCAGTATGACCTTGAGTATAGAGTCGCTACCTACCACATCATAGTCATGTTAACTAATCTAATTTGTCTTTCATTCTATTTAATGTTAGGAATTTACATGTCATCAATCACGTGCTTCCTCTTGGGCTGAAAAAGCCAGGGGGACTGCCAGCTTTGTCATATGGCCGCCAAAGTGAATGTGTTGACAGCTGAAATCAGGAAGCACAAAAATGTTTGAAAAGGTTTTGGAAGAGCCAACCTGCTTGAGTCTTAGCAGCTCAGTCTGGGTTAAATGGGAGGGGAGGAGATTGCCTTATTAGCCTTCCCTGGCAGCGAGGCTGATCGAAAACTGTGTAGGACATTCCATTCCTGTTCTTTAATCTGAGCTGATTTTAATACTTTATTTGGCAGCAGTCTTTCCTCTTCTTCCTCAAAGTTTATACTTCCTCTCTCTCTCTGTCTTTCAGCTGTACAGCTCCATGGACTTTGGAAGAAAATGGCAGCTCATGCATGAGCGGGTCACTCCAAACAGGTTTTACTGGTGAGTTATGCCCTCAGGCTTTGCTTGCTTTGGGCAGGTCATTGAGGGGAGAAAGGCATCTAACTTGAAGGGATTGGTTGCTTTACCCGAACACTAAATATTCCCTTGGTTTTGGTCATCATCAATGTTATATACTCAATCCAAAGTATGTATCTTGCAGTGCTATTGCTGAACGTCTCCATGTTTGTACCTCTTTCTTGTCTGATAACAGTGGTGTCTTGTACAGACGAGTACAAGTCTTTTGATAATTGCAAACCTCCTGCTTCTTTGTTATATACCTATTTACTGTAACACAGAGAAACTGCCCAGTGCTTCAGTGACAAAGTTATGATCGTTAGACCTCCTATTTTTCAACCCTTCTGAGAACTACTTAAGCCTACAACACAGTCTTTGTGCAGAGCCAGCCACTCTGACCAGTCTCCTTATGCAACCGTTGGGAGAAAAGATGATTCAGACTCTGCTTTGATTCAGTCTCTGAGGAGCCAGTTTCTTTCTACTGAGTGGTGAGAGCCCAGGATCTGCAGTTTGCTAAAAATCTGCTTTGTGACTCTTCCTTTGCATTTCCAAAGCATCAGCCTCCAAAACTGGGAGAGTGTCTTAAAAGTGTCTTAAAAGCAGATGATTAAACAAATTTAGTTCCTGTCTCCAAGGTCCTCCATTTCAGATGCCACTTTTCCAAACATCTCTCCACCATGTGAAGGCCCAAGAATTGAATTCAGAGAGAAAGAGAAAATCCAGCAGTAGTCTTCTATAGTTGAATCTAGGATTTGGGGCTTAAATCAGATTCTTAACGCTGTACTACATGCCAGATGATGGTGTGTGTGTGTGAACATGTAGAAGTGCTGATTTACAGAATCTGTGAATAGTTGAAGAAGTGCCTGGTCCTTACAGCCAAAAAAGATCATAATATTAAGGAACCAGAGGCTCTTATTTTCAATGGTTAAAAATAAAAAGGACTTGGATGACTTACGAATTGACTTCCAATTGCAAAACATGATGTATATATCTTAGAGTCAAATTCTCATAGAAATTCTTGTGCATCATTAAAAGTACCTGGAATCCAGGCCCAAAATATCTATGGATTGGATTTGCAGTATTTCCACACCTTGCAGTGGATATAGACACTTCATGGGATTTTCAAATTGGCTCGGTCCTTCTGCAAATCTCTCTAAACAGCTTTAGACTCCCACATTTAAAACACGACTTTTTGGCACCAAATCTGGAGATTTCCCTCAGTGTGCCTGTGGATTTTGGGCAATGTAAGAAGGTTTTTGAACATCTAGGAAAGGAAGTTGTAAGGCTTCTAAGTCACATAGACCTGCAAAATGTATCAAAGACCTAGAACCTTGTCTGACCATGTCACTGTTTCACATTTCCATAGTGAAGGAAAGGTGGTTATGTTCTCCTGGTTGTGGTGGCAGGTGGTTGATTGGCCTAACTATCCAAAATCCTTTGATTTCACTATTTATGCTAGGTGCCCATGACAAACATGAGTGTAGATCCTCTCCAGGTGTATCCTTCTGTGGAGCAGAATAGTTGGTCTTATGGGATAATTGTACCCTACCCTTCAAATAGCACAGTTGAGCTTAGGGGAGAGGCTTTCTTGGAGGATAAAGTGTAAGGGCTGAGCTGACTTGGGATCAAAGCAGAATCTCTTTCTAAAGGAGAGGCTGTGTTTTTTCTACTTTCATATAATAATGGTTAATGGAAATTGCCTGTTTGTCTCTGTCCATTTGACACCCAAACCTGTAGATTGTTTTCCACAATCTACCTCATTTTTCATACAGCCTTTTGGCTGCATAGTTTGAATGCTGCTTTTTAACACTCCATTATATAAAGCCTCTGTGTCAAGTGTCTCTTTCTCTTAGAAAATGTGTAGAAGTCTTCTATAGGTAAAACTCTCATGGCATAGACCTAGAAATCTTTATTCCACTCAGAAACAGTAGAATCCCATGGACAATAAACTTTCCAAGAGAGTGAATTATGTTTTTCCCAGAGTGAGAGAGGTTTGAACCAATTCATAGTGCAGGGGTCAGAGATGTTGAAATTTTGGAACATAGTAACTCCCCTTAGCTGTCCGATTTCTTTCTTTTTTTTCCTTTCTTTCTTTTTAAAGCTGCAAAATGTGATGGCGTACAAACTCTGGCTTGTAAGATGTGTACAGAAAAAGAAATGCAAGAAGAATTTAGCCTCGGGAATTTGGTGATTTCTTTTTATTAGGCTATGAAAGAGGGAGAAAGTGGGTATAGCGTAAGTTTCAGAGGGACATGAGCCACTACTCTGTGGAGTTCATCAGCCTATCAAATACTACATTATCAAACCTCTTAATTAAAACTTCCAGGAAAGGTGAAATAATAATGATAGGGAGATGCCAAAATCAGAGGTAAACTGCTCGTTTGTGCTGCTCTGCATTGTTTATTAGTAGGGGCTCAGGTAAGCATCCTTCATCAAATGGGACAGTCTTCATCTGATTTGAACATGGCTGGCTTTATCTGGGGCAGCCATTGTCGAATGTTTTTGCCTTCAAAGCATGACTTTCATCTCTCAGGCTGCTGTGAATGGGCTTGTGAAGACTATAATCTTCACCCAGTTCATGGGATCAGTCAGCCTGACAGGGAGAGGTCTTATTTTTCTCTCTGAGACCTTTCCAAATAATTATACCTTCCCCGAGAGAGCTCAGATATAGAGACTTTAAGGCCAGGAGAAAATTATGGTTGCATCAGAACTCGTGAGGTTGGGATGTGAATTTTTACTCAGCAGAGTAAGCAAGACCTCTCTCTTAGTCATGGACACACAAGTCACTCTGTACATTTTGCAGTAGCTCTGGCAGGCAGCATCTGTGATGGCTCCCCACTGGTCAAAAACAAAGTCCTAAGCTTTGTATCCTGGCTCTTGCCTTCAACTTCTTTCCTTAGTCCCAGATGTTGGTGCTAATCACTGGGTTGTAGTTTTGTGTTCTCATCCCATATGGATGTCACATGTCCCGCAGTTTGAGACATCTCTCATCAGTTCCTGCGGCCAGCTCAAAGTTTGTGCATGAGCTGAGAATCAGCACTGGGCCACTCATAGTTATCAAAACTAGGATTTAAGATCTCTGCTTCTGTAGTAGTGATTCATTTGTTAGCTACACCCACTGATGGCAGTGTCAGAGCTTGAACAGAATGTGTTACTTGATGTGAGTACAGGCATCCAAATTTGGTTCCCACGTTCCTTGGCCTCAGAGATTTTAATAACTTAGGATCCTGTAAGGCTGGAAATAGGAGCTTACGCTAATGTGATACAGAAATTCCCAGATCACTCATCACTCTGAAATTACTCAAGATAACTGGAACCAGCATGGGTGCGAAGTTTGTTAAAGACCTACTCAATGTTCTTTTCTTTTAAAACACATTTCTGCAGCTTCTTCTGGGCCCTGTTCATTTTTTCTCACTGTAACTTAGACACCTATGCTGTCATGTGGAGGGATATAAAAAATACAGTCCATATTTTGTACTGTAGAAATGTTGGGGAAGTTTCCTCGTCTTGGTGTGTTCTGTTCTGTGCTGACTAAATACTGACTAAATACTGTCTCTATTCAGACAAGAACTCGAAAGGACTTGAATTGTCCTTAAGTTGCTTTACCACCTCTGCCTTTTCCTGTGGTGGGACGACAGGACTAAGCAGGTGGGCAGGACAGTTTGGTTCATGGAGCATTCACCAAGCCTTGTTCAGCACTTTGCTGGACCACAGCTTTTCCATGTCATCTTGGGTGACTCAAGCTGACTTTGCCTTGTTACTCCCTAGGTGAGACTGGGATAGGAGAGCATTTCTTTTCCTTCTTGGGTGTAGTGGGTGAAGTACTCAAATATTGTGGTATCAGGTGCTACAGCAGTGGATTAAGAGCACTGAAGGGCTCTAGAGAGTTAAAAGATGCTTTAGTGGCATATGAAGTCCTTTTATAATCTTATGGCTTAATTGTTTAAAATGTGGATTTCCACAAGGTGACCTATGTTTTCTGGGTAATCAGCTAAATGGCTGTGAATATCATCCCCTGTCCATCTGTCTTTGGAGGCCCTGCCTATGTTTGCTGAGCAGACACAGGGATTGCCATCCTGTGCAGAGGACAGAGCTATATTCCTTGGGACACCCACTCCCTTTCTTAGGGTCTCCCCAGGCTGCTTTCTGCTGGAGGACTCATTCATGTTTCCTACCCGTCATCACTAGGGAATATGAAGCGGTGGCTGTGGGATCATTTTCCATTTTTTTTGCCTGGTACATCTAGACATTTACCCTTCTCTCATTTGATTTTTTTTAACATGCTCTCTGGGACTTTGGGTGATTCTGTCAAAGCCCAGGAGTGGAAACAGTGGGGAAAACCCATTTGTGTGGAAGAGAGGGAGAAATCTGCACAGCATTTCTGATGCTACAGGGATATTTGGAACACTGAAGTCAGTGCCCAGGATGAGCCTTGTCAGTAAAAGACACTGAAATACACACTAGTGATGAAAGCTGGGCAGAAAACACCAACAAGGCAGGAGGGGAGAGACAGCAGGAGGAAGAAAATAGGACATGCACTAGCCTGGCCTCAAGGAGCAGTGTTTGTATCTGCAAATAGGAAAAATGTGGTGTAACAAGCAGTTCTCAAATACACTGCTGATTCCCTTGCTGAGTGTCCCCAGAATTGTATTTTTTCTCTTTCTGTGATAACCAACCAGTTTTCTGGTTGTTTTGGTATCCATGAATGCCAGCCACAATCGTTTTGAACTCCAGGGATTAAAAATTGGGAGAAGGGAACAGGCTATGCTTTCACTGGGAGAAGGGAAGAGGCTGTGCATCCATTTAGGCTATGCTTTGGAGTTACGGCTTTTCTGTCACCGTTGTTTGAGGCATAAGCCAGCAAATCTTGTCTCTTGAGGGCAAGGTTTTCAGTCCTTTTTGTCATGATTTTGGATAGGAACAGTGGTAAAATTTAGCCACTTTATTTCTATTTATTTGCAGCTTGAATTTCATGAAGACTATAG